GCCGAAAGGTTGGACACATCTCTAGAAAATCCTAGTGATTCATTTGCTGAATAGTATTGCGATGTGGTTGTTGTTGTATCCCTTGATAGTTGTCCACCATTGAAATATACAAGAAAATCGTTTGATCTCATCGTCTCAGGTTCTTCGGCTCTCTCATAACAATCCAAATGCATCATTTCGGTTGGTGTTGTCATAGAGACGTTATCATAGCTGCAATATGAATATGCTTAATGAACTTCGAAACTAATGCTCTCGTTGAATACTGTAATACATGTATTCATAATTGCTGTAGAATTTCGATGAGGTTGAATCGCTTCAGGCCGTAATGAAAACAGATCGGATTACATGCACATTTCTATATCAACTGAACATTTCTTCCGGTGCCGTTGTTGAGTAGTGCACAGAATTTTCGGAGTATTTATTTTCAATCATTGTCACATGATGGAACACTCAATTTGCAATTTCCTAATCTAATATTTCTCGATTTGAGGATAACTCTGAATAGTCAAAAAAGTGTTCGTTGAGCGTTAAATCGAATCGGCGATTACTTACTAAAAACTTTAGTCAAACTGATTGCTTCGCTTATATGATGAAAATTTCTTACTCTGAAAAGCAACGAAAATTTTGATCGCTTTCTGTGACGCTTTGTTCGAGTGTGCATCTTTGAAGCGTTGGTCTGAAATATTATGTAGAAGTACAGGAATTTTTATCAGATATAAAATTTTTTGCACATATTTTATTTGACTGAATTTTTGGGTAGGTACACTGATGAACAAACAAGCAATCATTTTAACAGCTATTTCGAGAGGGCATTCAATGACGACTATACATTTCGTGTGTGATCAACACACAATCTCATAAATAATCGAATAAAAGATGCACAAAATGGCACAACCAGGCAGTTGTACGCTTGGTGATGGTGTCGAATTACATACGTGCGATGCACATGTTCAAATTTTAAAACAATTCATCCGCACAATCTCAAAGTTAAAACGGTTATCGTTCTTAAACTCAACGAGCAATGAGATGACGCAATCGAGAGAATTATCCACTTCTTCTCTTGTCATGCAATTCAATTTCACGGATTCATTATTTCGAAAAATTGATGAGCTCTTTCTTTTTCTTACTGAACGCATTCAAGTTCAAATTTCTATTGGATGAATTGTGTTCTGATCAATATCAAAGTTAATGTGAATGTGAAAAGGAATAAAAAGCCACAAAAAACAAGGAATTGTACTCACGTTCTGTTCGAACTGTTATGAATATCCACTGTGATATCAGCTGCACTAGAAGCGCGCCTAATTCGCTCACAAATATCAATGCTGGCATCAGTTTGTGAATCACTCAGAAATAATTCGTTATCATCTGACGACGGTATCGTTGAGGAAGTACTCCGTTTCAATTTTCGATTCGTTTTCGACAGTCGTTTACTTAATTTACGATCCAAAACACATTTGAAGGATGCTTCGTGAGTCGCGATTGGCTTACACAGCCAACGATGCTGTCGGACCTCGATCAAATCTGCACGGCGTTCCGGTGTTACCACCAAACACCGTCGAATTAAATGCTCACATTCTTAAATTTATTTCTGTTGATTTATTCCAGATAAGTTTTGTGAATGATAAGCACTGAAAATCAGCGATTAATACATCGATGTTGCTATGCAATGGTTATTTGATAAGTTTTTTGTTCTTTGATTAAACTCATATTGAACAACTGCAAACATTTGTTCTAGTGAGAGTGCAAACACTATTAGTATTACATTACATCATATGATCACTATTGCATTTCATTACATCTAACCTCAATGAGACGATGACGTAAATGCATCAATAAAAGCAAACTCAAAAATCTGTCATTATTACGTTTTCAGCTTTCTGCCATAATTCAATATTTATGGCCTCCTTCTCCCCATTCCGGCTGAATGAGCAAATGCCATCGAACACGCAAAAGCATATGCAGTCAATTTGATGTCAAACCTTCGGAAATGTTTTTCGGTATCGAAAGTCTTCCGAGACAAATTTGTATTTCATTTCGAAATGGAAGTGCACCAGTCACCATAACGTACAAAACAATGCCCAATGACCAAACAGTGGCTTCCATCGGCATATAAGTGGCACGTTTGAACCATTCCGGTGGACAATACGATCGCGTTCCTAAAACTTTTCTAAGCTTCATGGAACGATCAAATAGGATTGGAGTACCGATACTGCCAGTTTTTTTTTTTTGCTTGACTGGCAATGCCTATTGCGATGCTGGCAACTAGCAATGTGAAGAAAACAATCAACTGATAAAATGGCAGTTGAATGGATGAAACAAGCTACCGTAACCTTGGAAACGGCTTGCACGAGTTTTAGAAATAATTGTTGCAGCACCAAAATCCACAAGAATCACTTCACCAGTGCGCATATTTATGATTATATTCTCATCCTGAATGTGAATCATCACAAATTCTTTTCACACAACGCTCGCTGAGAAAAGAAAAAACAATATGAAACATTAATTGGATTCAGCAAATTCAATACTTTTCCACCCCATAACCCATCAGATTTTCACACACAATTAATGCACAATGACTCACTTTAATATCGCGGTGCAAAACGCCATGGTCAGCGTATAATGAACAAACGGTATTTACAACTTGCACGAATATCGAACGAGCGATCGTCTCATCAAGACAACCGTAAATGGAAATCAAATCGAATAAATCCATAAACTCTTCCGGTCTTTCCATCACAATCATAAATCCTTTTGAACTGCAAAATTACAACGCTCAAGTGTTCGTTATTGCAACTATGATGTATTAGTTGAATGCATCTGCTGTGCAATTTCCAGTATGTTTATGGTTGGTCATTCCTGCCGAACATTGCAAACTGCCTTACGAGGAATGTGATATGAATTCAATACAACGTGCATGGTAAAAATACATTATTGGCCAATTTTGAAAGGCATTAATTTGTTCTGGTGATCGTACTCAGCTTTTTGATAGCTATATTTGGAAAGCAATTAGCAACCATGTGCCATGAGTCGTGATGGTATTTTTTCTAAAAAAATGAGATAGAGAGGTTTAGTTTTAGTTCTCGAATGTCATTTTGTTTTTGAAGTGTTCCACTGATGTTTTGTTGATGGTGATATCCGTGTAGAAAGATCGCTGGGAGTTTCATTTGAAATGGATCACTTCAAAAGACAAACTGATACGTTGAGTTTAAGAAGGCTCCATGGCTAGTTAAGCAATTGAAATTTTCGATCGTCAACGTCTGATTTTACGTTGTTTTGTTCAAACAATCGGCTCATATATCAATCAGCTAATTAACTAACTTCGCAAACCAATCAATAAGCCTCACAACACCAGGTGTTCCATTACACATCTCCAAAAGGCATATTTCTGTTGGAACAAGTTGTTTACAAGTCTATAAAGATAACATCAATCACATAAGACACTTAACAAAATCATCGATCAATTTCAATTTCACTTTTTGCAATGATGCTCAATTTGCTCAGAGTACAAATGATTTCCTACCAACTCTCATCAAAGCGTTCCGAGCTTTAACATCGTCTGCGAATGAAATGAACATTTGATTCACTCGTTCCATCAAACACCAATATTCGTCCACAAAAAATGCGAAACTACAACATGTTCAGTGCTAACAAACCGTCGTCCAATCTCGAACGTGTCGATGTTCAACAAATTTCACGGCCACTGGAGTACCGTCTTCAGTACGTTCAGCTTTATACACAATCCCAAAACCACCACGTCCAATTTCTTCAGAAATCGAATATTGTTTACGGAAATTTTTATAACTGTGAGCTGAAATTGTTCGATTTGAATGATGGCAGTTGCATGCTCAATCTTTCAATCGAATGATGAACCATTTTAATGGAATACATTGAATGAAAAAACTAATGTTTGGTTTGAATCTTCAGAAATGAATTTTTTTTTTGAAAGAGTTCCCATTACATTTGACCCCTCCAATTTTCAAAATAGGAATGAATTTATTGCTAATCAGCATCACTTATCGACCCAGCGCTGAATCGCACAAGACTAAACCAGCTTTAAAACACCCTTAGCGCACTCGTCCTCTGACCAGGATTTTCTCGCTTAAATATGCCAAAGGTATCCGGGAAAATAAATCTTATAAGATGGTTAAATCATGTATAAATCATGGATCATAATAAATCACATTGCGGCAAGTATGTCATTAATCATCAGTCATACTGGTAAGACGGCAAATTTGTGACTTCAGAGAGAAATTTATTTGAATGGTCGAACCTTTATCATGAAGAAACGTGACGTTATAAGATATACATAATGTGAGATCCTGAAGTTTTCGGCGAATCATTTCAAATCAGTCGCTCGAATGACAAACAATTATTCTAGAATTGATATTTGTGCGATATGACTATCCAAATTCGATTCTTCATTCACACGGCTATAGGATTAAACTGAAATGTCGAATGTTTTTCGCATTTCAAGCAACCGAATTTTAAAAAAATTACTTTCTTATGCAGCAAACAACGCAATGCAATAACTACAATATCCTTCACGAAGTTTTTGCACACATTTCTCGCTTTCATGTCACCTGCCACAATTTACGAGCTCACAAAGAGAATGTGCAACAAATTTACGTGGATCGCTTAATGACATTCTAAAAAATTTGTTGAAAATCGATTTTGATCGTTCTCATTGTCCGTATAACCAAACGTAGAAAGCAGTCCTAATGGAATACACTAACCAAAAAAAAACAAATTCAAATTGTTGACTGAGATTGTGAAAGAATGGAAAATAGCCAATTTTCTCATCATATTCACACGCAAAATACGTTCACATTTATATGGCTTGAATGAATAAATAACAACTTGAGAACAAATAATTGATTCAACACACACGTGCTATTACGTGCACACATCACAGCATACAAAAATAACTGCTCAAGATCATCACATCAAAATATCGAAACACTTCAGTTTCGCTGCCACAATTATTAGCATACGTGTTTTGATGCTCGCTGGCTGCTGACCATCACCAGGTAGAATTGAAACTAGTTGAGGTAGTGAATTCTGAGAGGAAAGAAGCATCGAGGGAAAGCTGTCATCTATTGATGAGTCAATGATCACATCAAAATTTATTGTGATAAAGATGTGTGATAGTAAAAGATTGACATTTGAGTCATATGCATTTTTTGTGTTTTCAAGAAAAAAAAAGAACAAAATCAGAGTGGTTTCATCACCGAGAAGGACGATTGGTTGTTCGTATTGTTTGGCATAAAGCATTACTAATGAATTGTTACATCGACTTAAATGAATGCTTGCATAAAAACATAAAAACAGAATTATTTGAGGGAGCAAATACGTATCAATATTTAAACTGTACAAAATAATGCACTCGAACGGATAAATATATACATACATATTACATTGAATTCAATATAAATTCATTGCAATACGTCATCAAAAACGTTACATTTCTGAAGTGGAATATACACAAAGTTTTATTTGTGTAACAAACTCGTCCAAGGTTCAAACGTATTGTTGTTGTTCAGTGGATAGACGAAGAAGAATGAGTCGTGTTGAAAATTGTATCCTCAATAAAATTACTGCTTGTCAGCTTCAATCCATCCAAACACCCATCAATTCTCGCATTCTCTCATCAGTTCTTAGACAGTAGCTATTTGACTTCCTGCATTAGTCGCATTTGAAACGAAATCAAAACAAACCTAATAGTATTTTGATGATTCACTTAAAATATTGTGTGATTCATTTTCTGAAAGCTTCTAACAAGCAAAAACTTCGGTGGTGGCAATCTCAAAAATCGCTGTTTCACTATAAACTTAAGTCAATTGTCTGGTGACAGTACAGATGAACACACACACACATTTTTTTCCAGCGCTAAATGTACCACTTCGATCAAAACTGTGAAATACTGTCTTGAATTGAAGTAGCTGAAGTGGAAGAATAACTTTTCGGTATAATCACACTTGTCTTGTAGCTTAGAAGGCTGAGCAGAAACAATAGTGAACTGTTGATGAGTAAGTAAACGCATAAATGCGAATCGGTTAACGTTGAGAAACACAAATAGAAAATGTGCAGAAGACGGGCACTGCTCAGCACTTTCCTTCACAAAAAGGCACCACATTAAAAGAGTTCTGAAAGAAATAACATTTTTTTCACAAAGTCCCTACTTCTATAAAATTAAAGACAGGAGTACTCAAAAATTTCGACGAAGTGTGAACGATAAAACATGTCGACTGCCTTAATATAGAGTGGTCCGTCCGAATTTCGCTTCGTAAAATGTGAACGAATTAAAGCGCAATAGGCTTTGTGTTCATATTGTTTCATCTGGCTTCAATGCCTCAACGGTTCACCTCAGCGCAGCTGTTTTCGTGCGGCCACTTTGTTCAGGTACAACTCAAACAGCTGTTTTGTCAGCATCGATACGTACGCATTATGCGTATTTTCTTTCATAGAAGTGGCTCTCTGGGAAATCGGTATAATATTACTCTGTTCATGGGGGAATTCGAGATTTCCAGCTGGTAATTGATGAGCATGGCAGATCATTGTTCACAAATTTTTGAATTTTAATTCCTGCACAGTTGTCCAATAATGTTCTCGGAATGTATGTTCGATCATAAAGAAGTGATGAAACCACCGAACTGCTGGCAGTAGACTTCTTAATCAATGGACGACTTCTTCAGTTCCTTATGACTTAACATTAGGAAGCAATTGATTGTTAGACGAGGATAATGATGGTCATCTTGATTGCTGAAGAGAGCGAATGGCGCTGTTACTTACTGACAAATGATATTACTGAGCGCGTGATTGTGGATGATGTTTATTTGTGGTTTAGAGGCTGCTGATTTACAAGAGAGAAGTTCCGTTGCAGAGAGTGCATCTGACCTCGTTTGCACGAAGACAGCAACATTACATTACTGCAGATGAAAGCTGAGTACGAGAAATGCCGACCGACTTCGGCAGTTGTTGCGATTAGAAGGAAAACAATTTGAACTTGCTTGCATGAAAGCGATTTGGCATTCTAATGAATATTCGAATTTTGACGCCACCTTAATATGCCATGCTTAAGCTTAAGCGGTATTCAAAGTAATCCAAAGTAATTCAAGGGACGAATATAAGGAGCATTTTGAAGTGATCATCAATTTTTGATCGAAACATAAGACTGAATGAAAAGTTGAACATCTCCTGTTTGCGGAGCTCGATGCATATCAATGGCTATGAAGCCAACATGAGAGCGTTGAGAAGTAATGCCTGGTGCAATCAACCTATGAAATAGTTGTGTCTATGAAAAACGACCAAATAGCTGTCTAATGAGAAATGTTCGCTTGGGATTAATTTGAATGCTTATTTATGCTTAGTCGGCAGCTTATTAGGTATGCACACACACAGCTAATACCCGCATAAGTAGAAATTGATAGCTGAAAATGAACGCGAAATTCGACAACAATAGTCGTCAGTTTAAGCGAGCCAAACGAGCTCTTTGTGACCATAAGTTGTCTGTCTAGCTGCAGAGGGCATGAATGACTGAAGGATGCAATGAATTATTGCTTAAAGAT